AGACAGCATGGCTGGCTGGGGAATTCTGGGAGTTGAAGTCCAACCATCTTAAAGCTGCCAAGGTTGAGAAACACTGCATAAAAGGATCGGAGGTTGATCATTATACAGAAGGATCTTCCCTGAAGATAGACTCAGGCATCTGTGCTCTCCATATGGGTTGGATTACAAAACCCACGACTCTACTGTCTGAAATACATGTAATGCAGTTGGCCGAAGGATGATTGAAGTATCCTACGGGGTAGACCCTCATTCAGGTTGGGCCTTAATGGTGGCAGTGCCTGTAACCAGGACATGCCTGATGCAGAGGGTCTTCCCACAAAGCGTGGGAGACAGATGGACCAATTTCCCTGGCCATGTACCTCAACACCATGGCCAGGAAGTGGCACTATAGAATTTAATTTATTCTCGTTTAAACTGCCAGAAAATAACACAGGGTGGGGGAACCCTATCTCTCTCACACGCTGAGAGAGAGCACTGGGTGAAGCACCCCTAGAAGATGGGTGGAAGTCTCAAAGTTGCTGTCCCAGAAGCCCTCTGGGACTTTATGCCCTGGCCCTGCCTCTTGTCTCTCAGAGAAGAGTTTTGGTAGTTCTTGTTGCCACCATCTATTTTCCAGGGAGGTGCCTTTATCTGTTTCTTCCATTAGCCCCGGCTTGTGAAAGAGATAGGAGTCCCATAGCCTATGTTACTTTCTGCAATTACTGGGTGAACGTGAAAAAATACAATATAATAATCACTCTAATGCCACCTCCTGGTCGTCTAGCATTGAGGTGTGTGACTAAGGTATCAGCCCTTCCCCCTTTGGAGGTAACCCAATCTCACATGGTATAAACAAAACTAAACTTTTTGTTTTAAATTAACAAAAAATTGTAGAGCTTGCTTCCAGGATGCCTCTGAGTTCAGAATATGGAGGCGATTTAGCGATGGCAAAAAAGTAAACATTTGAGAGGAACAAGAGTTGAGCACTAGCTGCTATTTTGGAGGTCTGCTACACAACTTTAGAATGCATGAGAAAAACCTTGTTGGACTAAAGGTTCAGACACATTTATTAAAAAATACCTGAAACAGAGAGGTAGATACATCAAGGGGAAGGTGACTCTATCACCTTTCTTTCAGATGTGACCATTTAATGAAACAGCATTTAAATCACAAACATCAACACCTATACCCTAAGGGGATAAAGCTGAAATCTAAGTGATTAGCCTCAGCAAAGAGATCAGATTGCTCTCATTCTGTGCAGCAAACGTCCAGCATTGGGATGGCAGCAGTGGGAGAATCCAACCTGATCCACGAGGAAGCTAAGAGGGAATAAGCCAGAAATGTGCAAAATCTTCTACCGCTGAAGATTCTGACCCTGGAATGGCAGATCTGACTTTGGAGGGCGCCACATTCCAGATCCAGAACTTGCCACGATAACACAATAAAAAAAACAGTAAAAAAGCTTCCATGTTTAGAAAGGATGGGACAGACAGCTGGCAGCCGGTTCTCAAATCAGCCTTTCCCAACATCAGCTGATGTTTAAGTTGGCAACGAGGATGGCAAACCTGCTTCTAGGCAGAGGGCTGATCATGAAACAACTGCCAACTTAAACTGCAGGATGAGAAAGGGGAGAGGTGTGAGGAAAGGAAAATGAAGAGAAGAGGCTAATGAGAAAGCCTTGTCCTGTTTCTGCAGGATCAACACATGGGGTTGACCATAAACATGAGAGAGGCGATGGAATGATGGAGCCCATTGGTTTCAGAAAAGTGGTCCTCCCCCCCAGGTTCCCTACTGGGGATGCTAGAACTGGGCTTTCTTCTTTCCCTTTCAGGAACAGAACGAAGACCATCCCCTTTAGCCAAGCCTTAATTTTACAGCTGTTTTTACCAAAATAGGGGTTGACGTGGGTATGGCTCTCCCTTGCTGTAAGCTCTCCTTCATAAAATAAGAGCTACTGAGATGCCTTCTTCCACCTGAATTAGGCACAATGAAAATGCAATGCTAAGCAAGGAAGAGCACCCGATGGTGACTTGTGAAAGATTCTTGGGAAGGGTGCTTCCATGTGTGGTACTGACTGGATGACGGGCATCATTGTGGGGGACAGCTGGGGGAAGCGGCTGCAATCCATGCTTTTCTGCTGAGAAGGCAGCTTCTTCTGGGCAGATACCTTCGCAATGCTCAAGTACGGATTGTCCCAAGACTCAGCCCCCTAGCGTGACCCCTACTTAAATGAGGGAAGGCCAACTCACCAATGACCCCTTCTGTGTTTTCATCATTTAGGGACCCGAAAGCGATGGTTGGCAGGAGGCAGGCGAAATAGAGAAAGATCATGGTGGTGATGTATTTCCCTATCGCTTTGTTGTTGCCGATAATGCCTAAAATAAAGCCCAAATACTGGATTAAAAACATGGAAATGACCCAGATGTGTGCCTACAGCAGTGGTTCTCAACCTTGGCAGTTTGAAGATGTATGGACTTCAACTCCTGGAATTCCCCAGCCAGCATGTAAAAATGAAATAAAGCTTTATATTAATTGTCTGATACGCACGCGCGCACACACGCGTGTGTGCACACATATATATCTGTGCATATATTTATTAAAATGGTACACACACACACACATGTAATACCTGTACATATATATTAAATGGATGCAATAGAGTTA